CCAGCCTGGTCGCCCATAACTGCTCCCCTCTGCCGGCCTGGTCACCCCTCACTAACCCCCCTGCCAACCTGATTGCTCCACGCAGCCTGCTGCTCAGTTGTTTGGTCGTCCCTCACTAACCCCACTGCCAGCCTGGTTACCCCATACAGCCTGCTGTTCAGTTGTTTGGCCATCCTTCACTAACCCCCCTGCTGGCCTGGTAGCCCCACGCAGCCTGCTGCTCAGTCATTTGGTCGTCCCTCACTACTCCCCTGCCGGCCTGGTAGCCCCACGCAGTCTGCTGCTCGGTTGTTTGGTCCTTCCTCACTAACCCCCCTGCCGGCCTTGTTCTGTTGTCAATTCGGTCATCTGTTCGGTTGCAATGGCCCCTGGCTCTTTATATATATAGATAAGAACCTTATTATGAACACCAGACAAAAGAAATATAAGAAAGAAAATAATAGACAAATTCCTCTATTAATATATATGCAAAATAATAAATATAAATATGTACAAAAATAAATGTTAGTAAATGAAATTCAACATTGTACCAAAAAATATGATGGAAGGATGGTAAATATGACTTTGTGGCAAACTCACAATGCAATATACATTCGAAACCTGTATACTTTTATTAACAAATGCCACCCCAATAAATTCAATTAAAAAATTAAAATAAAAAGCATGGTCTGGCCCTGGCTGGTGGTCTCAGTGGTTAGGGTACAGACCCACACACTGAAGGCTCATGGGTTAAATTCCTGGTCAAGAGCACATATCTGGGTTGCAGGTTTGACCCCTGGGCCTGGTCAGGCACAAAAACTAATCAATGTGTCTCTCTCACATGGATGTTTCTCTCTTGTCTGTCTCTCTCCCCCTCCCTCCTTCCTATCTACTCTCTCTGAAAATCAATGGCAAAAAATACCCTCTGGTGAGGATTAACCAAAATACAAAAAGAAAAAAGAAGTACATTCTGAAATTTAAAAATTTTTCTTTAAATATGCCATGACCAGCTGCAGCAATCCTGAGAAAGAAGAACAAAGTAGGAGGGATCACAATACCAGATATCAAGCTGTATTACAAAGCCACTGTTCTCAAAACTGCATGTTACTGGCCCAAGAACAGACATATAGACCAATGGAACAGAACAGAGAACCCAGAAATCAACCCAAACCACTATGCTCGATTAATATTTGACAAAGGAGGCAAGGGCATACAGTGAAGTCATGACAGTCTCTGCAATAAATGGTGCTGGGAGAATTGGACAGATACATGTAAAAAAAATTAAACTAGACCACCAACTTACACCATACACAAAAATAAACTCAAAATGGATAAAGAACTTAAATGTAAGACGGGAAACCATAAAAATCTT